ACAAATTGAGGGTTAAATGGAAATGAAGTATGAAATAGAAGACCATATTAAAATAAGGAGTAGGACTAAAATGTAATAAACCAAATACGCGACGATTATACTTTTGGGTTATTTCCCAGCAAAGGCAAATGAGGTCAACCAAATCAGGGAAATGCATATTGGATGAGCAGTAATTCAATGGTGAAGGAATATTAAATCGGTTGGGTAGGAGTTTAAAAATCTAAGAGCTCATAATGCACTGGTTGGTGGAAAGGATGGCCACCGTGAAAATTGTATCGAAAATTTTAATCATATCATTTAGATTTATCGGATAATTATGAGATTTATGAATAGGTTTTTATTTTGATGAATACAATATTTTGAACATGGTTTTGTGAGTGATATCTACCAAAGTCTCCGACAATAGTAGTGGTGTGCGAAACCAATGGTAGTTCTACCATTTCGCTTATATAATTTTTGAAAAAAAAGAAACAATGATTTTTTTTTTAAGACAAATGTTAAATTATGAGTGATTAGTGTTACCAACTCAACATTCTAAGTTGGTACCTCCGTTGTGTTGTAGTTTTTTTTGTTATAACAATCTTAGTAATTTAAAAAGAAAAAAAGAATTTGAAATTAGTCCTGATTATAAATTGATAATGATGTTGAACTATTTTTCCTTTTTCTTTAGACTTTAAAAAAATTAATCTTTAGAAAATTATTGAAAGAGAGAAGTGGCTATTTTAACATTTTATTTATAAATATAGAAGCTTATATTTAAAATTAAAAGGGAAATAATAGATTTTCTATGAAACGAAAATCTTAACGTGAAAAGAATACTTATGAGAAGAACTTAATATTCAATTAAATGATATCAAATAGTATTTTAATTATGAGACAAGAATGGAAATAATAGTATTAATTTTAATATCATTTGAGTGGGGCTTTGAACATTTTAATAATAAGCGTATAAATTTACACTTATAAGTAAAACTAGCTGGCACGTCCCTACGTTGCGCATGTTTATTATTATTATTGTTTTTTTTTTTTAATGGTTTTAAATATATATTTTTTGTATTGAATTTTATTTTATATTGAATTAATAATTAAAGAAATCAATAAAAAATATTATAATAATCGACGTCAGAGCAACTGACTAGCATTCCAGTGATCTGGCGCTGATGATTTTCTATTTCGGTGTCATGATTCTGCAAATACCGGTACGGTTCTTCTCTAATTTGTCTCTCAAATCCACTGCAGTTTGATTCCTACAAATTGATTCAATTTCTCAATACTAATTCTTGCTTCGGTTAAGGTAATTCTCACAGTGTTCTATCTAAGTCTTATTATTCTCAATTTCTCTTTTCTTTTTTTCTTATTTTTCTTGGTTTTTATTTCTATGGAAAGCTAGGGTTTCTTTGATTGAATTGAATTTCACGGAAAAAAAGACTGCTTTTGTTGTGGGTGGCACTGGACATGTCGCATCTTTGCTCATCGAGCTATTGCTTCAGAAGGGGTATTCTGTCAATAATACTGTCAGAGACCCAGGTTCTTCCTTTTCTTTTCTATTGATAATGCATATCTTGTGGAAGTTTTATGATGGATTTATGAAACTGTAATCTTTTCACATAGGATGTTATGGAAGAGAAGTGTGGCTCTGCAGCCATCTGTTTTGTTTCTTTCCTTCTTGACATTTTGGACTTCAAGGCTGATGGGAGAAATAAGTACTTTGAGATGATGTTAGCAGTTGCAGAGAAGTTCAAGAGGAGTCCTTACAGGCAAGCATATTAGATTTATATTTTTCTTATTTCAGGTCACGTTTATTTATTCCTGAAATGCTTTGAAAACTAAAATGTTTGGAGAAACACAACATTTTTGCCGAATAAGATGAAAATCCTTTGATTGTTACTGTAAAATTTCTGTGCTATGGCTATGTCTGGGCAGCTGCTGGTAAGCAGCCAGATCTTGAAAAGCATGTAGGTGTCTGTTTGGGTACCACAAGGATTACTAGACCTTAAAAATGCTGTCAGAAAATCATGGAGTTTATGCATGTGGGAAACTATGATAGTCGACCTAAACGGAACTAATCAACACAACGATCGGTCTAAAAATGGTCAAGACCCTTCTTTTATCTCACACACACATACACCCACGCAGCTTCTAACATCATCTAAAAGAGTTAGTGAAAATTAAATAACAACATAAATGGAGAGCATAAATATAAATGAAGAACATGTACAAAATTTAAGAACAAGAACATAAAAGAAAACATAAATATTAAACATGTTAAAGAACATAAATTAAAACATATATGGAATCTTTTGCTATCTATAATATTTTCAGAGTATTACATCACCCTTGAGGTTGAAGAAAACTTAGAAATATGAAAGAAACATGGAAGAAGTATAGTAAAGATGTGTAGAGAAAGTATGGAAGTGTAGAGAAAATATGGAAATGAAGAGTGAGAGAAGTAAATAAAAGTGTTTGCAAAGTTTACAATCCTTGACTTTTTTACAATGGCTACGGGAGATATTACAATGAAAAGGCAAATCGCCATTTAGTCCACTCCTATTTTACATAAATGACACCACCATTTAATTTAAGACACGCAGATCTTTAATCGTTTGACAAGTTGGTAACGTGCCACGATTCTTCATCCTGGAAGTCGAGACAACCCATTGATTGAATCCAGTCAGCAGGGATTTGTCGAGGAGATGTATCTGGATAAGTATCTGAAGAAATGTCTGGAATCTGAGATGTTGGCGTGGCAGATGTACTTGGTGCATGCACGTATTGTTGTCGCCTGGATTTATGGAGATAGTAATCACGAGACTGTTGAAGCTCTTCTTCCTGCACAGTATCTGGCTGTGAGTCCGGGTACCACCATTCTGGATAAGATGAATTGTCATCGGATTGAGCATTGATGGAACGTATGCATGTCTGTTTGGCGTGGAGAAATTTCTCAGTGTAGTCTGGAGGAAAGAGTTCCCACGGAGCATCATCGTGAAAGGATGGCCATATTGCATCTGGAATGATCTGATTTTTTTCAAAAAGGATTTTTTGAATTGATCTAGTCTCAACAGGATGATCAAACATATTATGGACAAGATCNTGAGAGAGTTTCAGGTAAGAATCTTTCCTTTTCTGACTGGATTTTCATGTGTTTTTGTTTTTTTTGGGTGCCTTGAATCTTGGTTTAAAATGACATTAAGAGGCGGAATTTTGGTTTTTACTAATGGTTACACGTCTCGGATGTCAAGATTAAAGCTGTATTTTTTTTTCTTAATTTTGTATTATGGTGTTTTTTTTTTTTCCATGATATTTATTGAGAGATATTGAAGGTCTGGAAAAGGTACCATTATTTTTTCTCGCTTTTTAATATCTTCTTTTTTTTTTTTCAAAGAAAGGTCTGGGTATGCTGTTGTTTTTAAGGCAGTTGTTTGTTTAAATGTCGGGTCTATGCTTCTTTTTTTCTTGGTTTATTTTCCTGAAGCAGTCTTTGTGGTTTTGGATGGTTGAAGTTTAGTGTTTCAGTTCATATGATATTAATTTTCTCCTTCTGTACACTTGGTGATACTATGTCATAGTAACTCAATGTTTAATCATTGAGTAAAACGTTGTTCGTCAGGGATAGAAAATTCAATGACAAAACCTTTTACTAGGACGAGTAGAAGGCAGTTTGTGTCCTTGAATTCTCTGTTCCTGATGAGCGACCTTTTACTCTCTTTTTGGCCAAGGCAATTCTGATCCATGTTGTGCTTTAATTGCGACTAAGTAGGTATAATGTTTCATGTTATGATTTAATCAGATTATGCATAAAAATGATCAATAATGGTTCTTCATTTGTGGCTGTTTCTAAAGGTAAATGAGAGCTTCCCATTTTCAATTTGCATTGTCATGGAAAGGCTCTGCCCCAGAAGCTCAAAATGAAGCAGCAGATAATCAGCAAAGCACTATTGTTTTCCCAAAGGGAAATCCAAAACCCAGTGTTTAAGGCATTGACTTTCTACAAGGCAGGTACATTCACTGTAGATGTTCAATATGCTGATGTGAGCGAGTTACAAGCACCCAACTATGCTTTAGAGCAATTTAGGTGGATGCTATTTGTAGCTGAATATTGATCATTTGCTATTAGAATAATGGGAGTAGGCATTAGAATTGTTTGTAGAGATTTATTTGCTGTTTTGTGTGGAGGACTTGGTTGGAAACTATAAGAAGATTGTGAGGGAAGAAAAACTTATTTCCATTCTAAAGATTGTAATTCTCAAGATGCTCTACCATGATTATCAACAGCAGTTCTTTTGCTATTATCAAATTCTTGATCTTCTAGAGTTCACAACTTCTAGGTGCTTGCTTTTTGTATATAAGTGGTGTACATAAATCATAGCAATTTTTTAAAATCTAATACTAAGATGGTGAGAACTTTTCGTGTACCAATGTTGTTGTGATATGTTCAATAATGGTTATACTGCACCTGGAAAGTATATTGTTAGAGGAATTTCATCGTGTGAAGATTATGGAATCTACAACATGTACAATGATTCAGCACAAAAGCATCAAGACCATTAACATTTCATCCTCTAGTAGAAAAATCATTGATTGATGAAAGGCTCAAACGGTTTATGATAAGAACCCATAAAAAACTATCTCCAATCAAATTAACAAATCACATGCGATGAACTCGAGCAAACTAAAACTCGATCGCATTAAATTGCTTTCATATGGGTAAGGAAAGCTATTGGAAAAGTATACTTATTTGTTTATAGTAAGTATCAACTATTCATTTAATTCAATCGTTCTATCTATGAAAGAAAGTGCAATATAAATCGATCCAAGGAAACAAACTTTTAGATAATAACTTGATTCAATGGTTCAGCATTTTAACATAATGACAACAAAAATACTCTAATCATGTAATAATTGATAAAGGTGATCTTATCGCCCCACACTCATCAATCAGACTTGTTGGTGTCCACTTATTAAATATCTCATATATGATTTCTCTTGCTAATTAGCCCCATACTTATCATCCAGCTGCTTCTACTTTATCATCTATATTCTCTCTACGCTCCACTTGAGCTCCATTAATTTGCAGCTGCAGATTGCATCATCTCTTTAGGTACCAAAAGAGGTAACCCTTTTAACCCATTTCTTCTTCTTCTTTTTTTTCAAATTATTTTGAGATAATTTATGTACTTCCAACATGTTGATTATTGAATAGTAGCTAAGATTGTTCTATATACTACGTGTAAGATCTGTTAGTGTACATGAGGAACAAAATGCTCTTGAAATTGATGTTAGTTTAGATTTCATGTAAAATAAATGGACAAGATGAATATCGTTAGAAGTCAATAGAACTTTCCTTTTTAATTATCTAATCCACAAGCTATGCGACCAAAATTTAAAATAAGCATATAAATAATAATGATGGTAAAACATTATTAATTTTAATTTTGATAAAGAATTAACTGTTGAACAGGAATTTTATACCTAATTCTGAAAGAATCAATCTCCTCTAACATAAATTCTTGAACATTGATTTAATGTAATCTAACAATTCAGAAGTTGCTAATTTTATATTAAATAATATAACAACCTTTAAAGTTTCTCCAATACAAATTTCATCTTATTAATGATCAATTATTATTATTATTATTATTTTTTATTTCAATAGCTTAACCTTATATATGTTTCTTCATTCAGTTGTATTATGAATAATTATGAGTAAATGTTTTTATTAATTAAAATTGGAAAGATTGTAAAATACAAGTTTATAAATACTTAATCCCCAATATGTTTTCTTATAACAAAGGTCTAATTACTTAAAGTTCCTTACAGTGTTTACCACAAAAATGTCCATCGATGAAGTGAAGATTGACATGGCACCAGAAATTGAGTCACATGACAAGAAAGATGAACTTACGGCATCTCCTCCTCAAGAACAAGATGGTATGAGTTAATATTACCTCTTAAATTGAATGTGATATTGTTTTAAACTTGAAAAGAATCATTAAACTTTTGGTAAGATGACAAGGAGTTTTAGGATCGATCAAAGAGTAAGTTTAGACCACTAATATCTCTAACAGGATCAAGTTTCATGTAAAAGAAATACTTGGATAGTTTAGTTGTTGAGTTGGTGTTAAAAATAATGATCTCTACCTTATTTCTCAAATTTATTTGATTGCAATATTGTATTCATGACTACGAATTTGTGTTATGTTCAATTGTTTAACCTTATATATGTATGTTATTCACTTGATATTAGCAATAAGTATTTCATTAAAAATAATTTAAAGTACGACGTTGAACTCAAATTACGTCTAAATGCATAAAGTTCTTTAAAGGTTTTATCACAAAAATGTTTAATGATCGATGATAAAATGAGAGTTAACATTGTACTAGAAATTGAGTTGCATGAATAAAATGATGAGCTTTTGAGTTTAGACATCTCCTTACTCTCAAGAACAAGATGGTACTATTTTAAATTACCTTGTAAACTGCACGTTATATTATTATTTTATTTTAAATATTATTTTCACTTTTAAAGATGCAATGTTTGGACAATAATTTTATATATTTAAATTGTTTTTAACAATTTCTTTAGATTATCGATAGAAAAAGCAAATTAATTTGTTTATCTAATTTTATATAAACGCATAACAATTAATTATGACAAAATTTTGATTGATGAAACAGTAAGAGATACAACAGCTGCATCATCCAGTGAAATAGTTGAGAATGAGACATCTCTTATTCAAGAAAACGCTGGTACATTTTGTTATCATCTTATAAATTGCTTATTATTTTATTTCATATTATTAAAGATGAATCATTTTGAGCATCCTTTCATTTTTACTTGTCTTAGAAATTTCCTAGCAATCCTTTTGGTATTACCTAAACTAAGAGAAAAATAATTTGTTTATTGTAATATAAGTGCATAAGAAGTGCCCATTAAAATAGGCGATCAACCGTGAGATTAAACAAATGTAAACATTTTAGAATTTTTTGAAATTTAACTGTCAAGAGTTAATTTCATTTTGAAAAAAGTATGGTTAAAATTTAAAGGTTTAAAGTTAACATTAAATTTCATTAAAAGGACTAAAATAAATATAATTTGAGATCACAATGACCTGTACTAAGAACCATTTTTTTGGTCATATTATTTGGGTCAGGGTATTTATGATTTACGATATTAACTGTCTGAGAAGTCACAATTTTTTTTTATTTTTTTTATTTTCTGTTCATAAATCACTCTTATATCTTTTTCTTTAGAAGAAAATCTGGAATAACCTAGAGGTACCAGTACCACTCAGAATGCTAAGTTGATACCACAAACTAATAATAAACTGACATGTGTCAAATGCATTAAAAATTATAATCCAATTAAAACACTTTATCTTCCATCATTGCCTCAACGGCATCGCTAGCGCCTCCTTTCCCATTTTTTCTTCCGCCATAGCCTCAACCTTCTCTGCCAGGCTCTTTCCCCCAGTTTTTTCTTCCGCCATTGCCTCAACCTTCTCTGCCACCGCCTCCTTACCCTATTTTTTATTAACCCAGTTTTAATTTTTCAGCTCCGGCTCTGCCATCTCCCTCCCCCAATTTTTATTAACCTATTCTAATTTTTTCAAGGCAACAAACTAATTATCCTCATGAAACAAACACACCATCAATCAATAATATATAAATCTGATATACTTTTTTCCCTCAAAAACAATCCAACTCAATGATTTCAAATCAACCCACTCAAACATTTTTTATCTCTTGTCCATTGCAAGACGGAGAGCATTTGTTACCGTTTCAGTTCGGTAAAGTAAGAATTACAGTTTCAAATATTAGCAATGGCATACAGAGTGTCTATTCAATTTATGTACGAATAGCGTGACCTTTTGTATATACTTTTCATATGTTTAATATTACTATATATTTACATCAGCACTATATGTTTAAGTGAATTAGTTTTTACATATAAAACTTCTTTCTTGTTTCACCTTTACAGATGATACAAGGTTCAATGAAGACCGTAAAAAATTGTATCAAGCTATACTCCACCAGTCGTGTTGGAACCCTTGGGATATGAAAACTGTTGGTATATCAGAAAAAGAGGACTACCCTCTCCACGTTGCAGTTAAGGAAAACTACTCTAGTTGTCTCCGTGAACTAGTAGATAAAATGCAAAGCGACGAACTTGCTATTGAAAATCGTAGTGGCAATACTGCTTTTTTTATTGCTGCTGCAATGGGAAGGGTGGAACATGCTGAACTGATGTTTGAGAAGAATGAAAAATTAACAAGTATCCGTGGAGAAAAGGAAATGCTACCAATTCACATTGCAGCTCAGGGCGGNGATTTGGTTGATTAGCAGAGAGAGAATAAGAAATGAAAACTTAACCTGAATTCCTGATATGTAAAAATGACAACAAAAGGGAGGAGGAGAAGAAATAGACATGAACGCGTGCCTAATTCTCCTAGAATACAAGATATAACCTTTTTTGTCAAGCAAATAAAATTGAAGTTTCCAGCTTTTTAACATATAGACTTATTATGGCGGATTCTCAGTATTTGGATCATTGCACTGAACTTCAGGATCCTTACAGCCTTTCGAATCAGGAGAAGAGAATGTACTTCTAGTCTTCTACAACTCTCATGAAAATTATGGCGGGGCAGATCCGGAGTGCAGAAGCAGACCAATTTGAGATGACAATGATGAATTTTACCAGAAGTATCAAAATCTTTATTACTTAAAAAAAGATAATAAACTAGTGTTCTATTTCTGCAATTCTTTACTCACAACATTAGGCACTTCTTCAGAAACAGTATCCGTTTTGCAAATAGCCACAATTTTACAATAGAGGACCGTTGTGAACTTATCCTCTTCGGCGAATTCCATACTAGTTTACTAATCCATTTTCATTTTTTCCCCAGAAAATGGTCAGCTAAATGCAATGAAATTCTACCTATCTTTTCCGAATGGAAAATAAAACATGAAGGTTAACAAAGATATTGCAACCCTGAAGAAACATGAGATGATTTTAAGTAACACTATTTCACTATTGGAATAAGGAACTAAAGCATCAACAGAAACACTTGCAGTGCTCCCTCATTAGAAAGGGCTCATATATATTTATGACAGCATGCAATAGCATCAGAGAACCCCATAGCTATACACTGCAATCCATAGACACATGAGGTGACTGTAAGTTCATCATTGCAATAAGAAACTACACTATTAACAGTGAAACTTGCAGTGCTTTCTGATTTGCTAGGCTCTTTTATATTTGCGACAGCATGCAATAGCAAGATAGAACCACATATCTGTCAAATATTGTAAGGGAATAGTTAGTTTTCCATGTTCAAAGCCTCTAATCAGTAAAGTAAGGAAGACTACATTTCGAAGTTCCACAAACTCTCAGCAGTTAGTGTTGGTGTGTGTAACCCCTCTGCCAAATTAAAAGAAGCTGAAACCTGGCGGACATTAAAGACCAAAATTTGAAACATGAATCACAAAGAAAAACAACCATTCAGAACTTTAAAAGAAAAATTCAAGAAAACCATAAAGAATCTTTCTAGTAAAANCTGAGAACCCACAAAAGAAGAAAACATGTAAAAAAAATAATTTATCATCACATCTCATCCACGGTTAAACGACAGCAACCACAATGACAATGGTGGTGATATGGAGTGGAGTGTGAAATTAACTAATATTTGTTAAGCACCTCTCAGGAAGGCAGAGCTTAGTTTCAATACGAGCATTCAGAGAATTAGATTAAAGATTTGTAGGAGGTATCACATATCAATCAAAAGTAACATAAACACTAGTGGAGCATGGTAGCTAGGATTTGTAACAGCAGGTAACGTAGAATCATGTTCCACAAATCAGTTGAATGAGTAATTTATTTGTCAAGGAGATGAAATCCAATTTCATCACAAAGGAATTCAACTCAAGCTTTGCAAGATAACAAAACATCCCTTTATCCTTGAACACACTTAACTTTTATTAAACTAAATAAAGCAATGTATAATATATAAAACTATTATACTATCATGGTTTCAAGCAAAAAGAAAGTATCCAATGCCTAATGAGTGAAACAACAATATATCAGACTTAGTGACACCATACATTGTAAAGAGTCGAAAGTGCTGTGCGGCAGTCCTCTTCTCCTGTTCGGCCTTTCAGTCTCTTACGATTGAAAAGCACATAAATATTTGTAAGGTTGTCAAGAAACTTCAAGAGATACGGAACAACCTAAGAGAAGAAGTATATGTTTATTAGGGGTTACTTCCTCTTATAACATTGCTACATAGCTAAAAGAAATAGAACAGTAGTTCAACAAAATAACAACATTACTAAAAACAGTTATAATAACATAGAAGGATATCTAATAAAGTGACATCAATCTGTCATTTAATATCATATTTTCATAGGCAAAATAACATGAACATTAAAATTAACTGCTTAGTGTGTGAGTAAAAAATCAGAAGTATCAAACCATCTAGGCTATCATAACGCAATAAAATATAAAAATTAGATGATATAGATTACACACACACATATATATATATATATATATATATATGGAGAGAGAGAGAGAGAGAGAGAGAGGCCAACAGTCTTAGACCTGTTACAGTCACAAAGAAATCTTATAACATAAAACTCAAAAGTGCAAAAGTAGTAAACATCAGTGCATCAATAATAATTACTTATCAACGCAAAAGCTACCAAAAACCAGCCCAGAACTTTTGTCTGTACAATTTATAGTTCGAAACTTAATGTTAAGGTAGGCCTAGCAATAGTCGTATTGAAATGAGTTTTTGTCGTATCATATTTTTGATGTGTCAAATTTTTCTCATCCAAACTCAACCAATTAGCTTATTGGGTCTATGAAAATGCAAATCCATTAATTAATGTGTAACCCAAGCCTAATCCATTAAACCATTTTTCTCTAAAGGTTGATGCATTACTGATTGACTCAATAAAACTACAGCCGAACACCATCTTTATCAAATGTCTCCATGTCGTGTTACTAGGTTACACAGAATTTTGCCAGACCTATGTCAACGTGTTGTGTCAACACAATACATTTATCAAAACCAGGCACTTCAACATTCAAATTTAGTTACTATTGTGAAACAAAAAAAATTATAGCAACTTTTATAAGAATGAGTTCATACATTTTTATCTTTCAATATATAAACATAACAAATTAACTGTAATAACTAGGTTACATAGCAAGCTTTACCGTGTAAAGTCGATATCCATCCATCTCTTGGTGAACAAAACGAACAAGACTCTGAGTGGCTGAGTTGATCCACTGGTCAAGCACATTCAATGACTTTTGAAGAGTTCCAAGATCAACTGGAACATAGGTTACACCTCCCTCTATCTCAAAGTCTGTTTGCATTCTGAACGAGGAACCTATATGCATTATACCATGGAAGGAAAACATCTCTGACCTGGGTGAAAATTTAAATGAGAGATCAGCATAAGCAACTGAGAAAAAAATGATTTGCACTAGTGATGATGAAGAAAAAGAAAACACATTAGATCAAATAAAACTTTATAGATACATAAGTTAATATATAGTAATTGATAAAAAATACTAACAACACTAAAAACTCCTTCTTTCTTGAAACGCAAGGTCTCAGCACGCACAACCGGAGAATTAATCGGTACAATCTTAAAGCATCCTGCAAGATAACGTGAGAAAAGAGAGCATAAACATGGGACATGATGCTATGCTAACAACAAAGGAACAACAAAGGAATCAATAATCACTTCTACAGGTGATGGATAGTTCTTCAGCTTTTTACTCATCTTTTTTCCATCCTCAGCAAGGACAAGGCCATTGCAAATGAGATTCCTAAATGCTGGTTTCCCAAATAACACAGTAGACAACACCATGGGAGTATAGAACCTGTATAGGAAAAGAGCCGACGATGAAAATCCACCAGAAAGTTTAACTATAATAATACCTATCTCCCCCATGTTTGGGGAGGAGGGAAGAAGGAATATAATGCGATAGGCTGTTATCACTTTTCTGTAAATCAGTAGATTGGAAAACACCATACATTTGATTATTAAAAAAGAAAAAAATATATATAAATAAAAGGCCAGGATCTTCACATAAGAGACATGTTCAATATCAATGGTGTTTCTTTCAACACAAGAACTTAGACAGTTCTTATGTCAGAGATTAAAAATGCAGGAACCTCACTGTGAGAATTAATGTAATCATTGAGACAGCCAAAAGTAATGCAATCATATGTTTCAAAATTGTTTCACTTCAGTCCACTCTCATACCATAAAAAAAAAAATCCAGCAAGTCATACTAACAATGAAATAAATCCAATCACTTCTGCCACAGGTAATAGAAAGAATGTGTTGGCCACAAAATTAACTGTGATTTAGAAACAATTACATATTTACATAATTGCCAACTTGAGTGTCAAAACTGATGCTTATAGCGTGCCTAAAGATCTAAAAAGATTAAGAAGCATAAGGCATAAGGCATAGAACCACAAAATTCCCAGGAAAGTTTTTCTCAAAGAGTTCGACATTCTCAAACGGATAATGAATATAAGCATCAGGCATAGAACCACTCTCAAACCAGCAATCAAACACCTGCAAGAATAAGACCATATATCACATTAAAAACAGTTAAAAATTTTAAAAATTTTAAAATTTTAAAATTCATAACATGCATACAATGGACAACATAAAAGCATAGACACATTAATTCATAATAACCAGATCAGTAGTCTTACATCTTCTACACGATGAATCACACCAAATTCTGGACCCCGACTCGAAGGGATTGTGATGTGGTCCATATTGTGCCGGTGCAAATCAAACACCTAGATAATAGTGAACAAAAGCAACCAGTAAAACAATTAATTACAGATTGATGAATCCCCAATACCATTCAAAGTAGCCAAAATTCAAAGGGATAATTCTGTTTAAGAGTATGAAACTTTATGAAAAAAAGGAGGCATTAATACAAGAACTGAAGTACCCAGCCAAGAAAAATAAAACAAGGGATGGAGATAGAAGGAAAATGCAAGATAGAATCAGCTGAGGATCCCATAGAGCTGACATTAGCTTTATCCATTCTATGATTAGTAAAGAAAACTCGAGCAAAACCTGATCCAACATCTTCTGGTTCAAAAATACTGCACCTACAATAGCCAAATACCATTATCATCAAAATTACAATTCTTTTTGGCTTTGTAGAATTCAAAGTAAGATCTATCCCACTACCCTCACAGCCCTTAAAACCTGGCTAATGAGTAAAGGCATGAATCACTTATAACACTAGGTCATAAATAAGGCGAAGTTAAAACTGGGAGATGGCTACTGCAACT